ACCTCAGCCCATGTGCCCTTTAGGCAGTTCTTAAGAGTGGAAAGGAGGGAATTGAACTCAATCTTTTACTTCCTGATGTTTTGTGGGGAGGGGTGGACACCAGAATATTTTTGTCTCTTTCCTCTTTAAATTCACTTTTCTTTCTCTGAAAGATTTCACCAAAATGTTAGTATTGCTGTCATTCTTTCCTGTTCCTTATTCCTTCACAGAGTTACTATTAGTCTTTTCATTCTGCCATCTTTAAAGTTTGTCTGAGTTTTAAGGAATAAGTATTTTGCCCTTGAGAGAGAACATACCTACCCTGTTCTCTGAAGGTTTATTCGTTTTCCAGTGCCTAGTTAACAAAGACACTGTTCCTCATTTTCTTGCTATCTACTAATGTGTTGAGCTGCAGGAGTTACTGCATGTGATTTGGTTTACTAGCTTAGGAATTTGGAAGGTCACATATTTTCTTCTGCTGTTGTATTCAGCCCTGACATATTTTTACAGAAGGTTCTCTTTGGGGGACTTAATAGATCTTTGGTTTCAACATAAACTCACTTTTTCCCTAGGAGGTAGGTAGGGCGGGTAGTACAGATTTATTTAGCCTGTTTAAATGATTCCGGGGTCAGATGGAAAATTTATTTACTCAAGATCACACATGGCAAGTTAATCAGAGTCAAGATCCTGTTTAAATGTTTGGTATTGTTTTCATATCCCTTAATTATGAAAAGTTTAAAACAAAAGGTAAGAAGAGTTGAAAAATGCAGTTTTTATTTTTTTGAGACGGAGTCTCGCTCTGTCGCCTGGGCTGGAGTGCAGTGGCCGGATCTACACCATTCTCCTGCCTCAGCCTCCTGAGTAGCTGGGACTACAGGCGCCCGCCACCTCGCCCGGCTAGTTTTTTGTATTTTTTTTTTTTTTTAGTAGAGACAGGGTTTCACCGTGTTAGCCAGGATGGTCTCGATCTCCTGACCTCGTGATCCGCCCGTCTCGGCCTCCCAAAGTGCTGGGATTACAGGCTTGAGCCACCGCGCCCGGCCGAAAAATGCAGTTTTTAATCGGAGGTTTGCTGATGATCCATTCCAATTTGAGGAAATCTTTTGTAATTAAAAAATTTCTGGACGGGCGCAGTGGCTCATGCCTGTAATCCCAGCACTTTGGGAGGCCAAGGCGGGTGGATCACGAGATCAGGAAATCGAGACCATCCTGGCCAACGTGATGAAACCCCATCTCTACTAAAAATAACAAAAATTAGCTGGGCGTGGTGGCACATGCCTGTAATCCCAGCTACTTGGGAGGCTGAGGCAGGAGAATCCCTTGAACCAGGGAGCTGGAGGTTGCAGTGAGCCGAGATTGCGCCACAGCACTCTAGCCTGGTGACAGAGCGAGACTCCGTCTCAAAAAAAAAAAAAAAGAAAAAAAAATTTCTCCTTTGGTCTTATACCCTATGGTTTCTTCTGTTTGACAGCCAAAATAGTCACCATTCTATGCTTCTTCTCAACTGCGTTCTTTCTTATTTATTTATTTGTTTTTTTTGAGACAGAGTTTCGCTCTTGTTGCCCAGGCTGGAGTGCAGTTGTGCAATCTCGGCTCACTGCAACCTCTGCCTCCCAGGTTCAAGCGCTTCTCCTGCCTTAGCCTCCCAAGTGGCTGTGATTACAGGCATGTGCTACTATGCCTGGCCAATTTTTGTATTTTTAGTAGAGATGGGGTTTCACCATGTTGGTCAGGCTGGTCTCGAACTCCTGACCTCCCGTAATCCATCCGCTTCGGCTTCCCAAAGTGCTGGGATTACAGGTGTGGGCCACCGTGCTTGGCTCAACTGAGTTCTTTGCTTTTGATTGTCCCTTTTTCCTACTCTCCTATGGCAGCCACTTCTGGCTTTAAAGTTCCCATATCTATAAAGCAGAGTAGTTTTGAAGCTCTCAAAAATGTTCTTTAGAGCCAGAAGAATGGAAAACTTACAGTATTTCAAGTCTCTGTATGTCTTTTTTATTTATCCCAGTACTCCTTTTCTCAAGAATTGGGACATACTGATACAGAGAGTTGTACATTAATAATGTATCAGGTGATGAATAATTATTTAAAAATCTGTTTCATAACATTATAGAACAACCTAGAAGTGGTTTTAATTTATCAACCATTAGGTTGTGGCAGAACCGCTCTCCTTTTTTTTTTTTTTTAAACTTCTTAGGAATTTTTTTCCACCTAAATTTTATTTTATTTTTTTGAGACAGTCTCACTCTTGTCGCCCAGGCTGGAGTCGCAGTGGCACGATCTTGGCTCACTGCAACCTCCGCCTCCCGGGTTCAAGCGATTCTCCTCCCTCAGCCCCCTGAGTAACTGGGACTATATGCGCCTGCCACCGCGCCTGGTTAATTTTTTTGTATTTTTAGTAGAGACGGGGTTTCACCATGTTGGTCGGGCTAGTCTCGAACACCTGACCTCAAATGATTGCCCTGCCCCGTCCTCCCAAAGTTGTGGGATTGCAGGCATGAGCCGCTGCGCCCGGCGCTCCACCTGTAATTTTAGTTAAAAGATTTTTTTTTTTTTTGGGTTGTTGTTTTGGTAGTGCTTCGTGTCTTTGGATTTTATCTCTAGTAATCACCCCAAAGAAGGAAAGTTATATAGTGTCTTTAAAATACTTCCCTTCCCCTGTTTCCTGTTATTTTTCCCCTCAAGCAATTTTAATTAACTGTTCTGTGACAGATGGTAAAATGGGGTTGCCCGAAGTGCTCTGGTGGGCTGTATTAAGTGATGGGTGGTTTGTACTGATCGTATTGTAGAAGGATCGAGCCTTTCCCCTCCCCCCTTCAGTTGAGCTGTAATCTTGTTAGATGATCTTAAAATGCTATTGATTAATTTACAGTGCTGTTAGAGGAATAAGCATAAATACTGGATTTAAAACCTAAGAAGTAATTCCCTTGAGCTCTGAATGCCTTAGCCTTGAGGCCAAGAGAGGTACCTTCCAACTTCTCCACCCAGTCTTCACTGAAAAGGAAAGTTAAGCCTTTTAACTTTTCCATTTGCTTCTCCCCCTTAGTGTAGTACTGCTGCCAGTTGCTATGGCAACGGACTGGGACAGCTGCGCAGTGGCGCCCAGGCAGCTGGGTGGGGGCGGGGGAGCTGCCAGCCCGCCAAGACCCAGACCTGGGAGGGGAGGCCCCTCCTGTTAGCCCAGAGGGAAAGAAAGAACTGGGGCGATCCGGTAGGTAAAGGAGGGAACCCCCATTCATTTTCTACCTTTGGGGCTCCTCTTCTGCATGAAGGTATAAAGGGAGATTTTTCTTTTCTCTCCCTCAAAATGAAGAACACATGTAAATCCTTGTTTTTCCTGGTGAGGCAGGGGAGGCCATAGCCACAATGCTTAACTGCATGCATCTAACATGGGGCTGGTTTTAACCCCAGCGCTCTGACCTAAACTGCTCAGCTCCCGGAAATTCCAAGGTGAGTGGGGGTGGGGGTGGGGTACTCTCCCTGGAATATGACATTTCCTGTCTCTGGTGAGGTTGGAGGCTGTTTCATTTTAAATAAACCACATAAAATATTTTCTTGAAGCTTAGGACTCTTCTAAATTCATGGAAAAATTATTTTAACCGCCCCCCGCACCTACATTTTCCTACTACTTCTTCCAAATAGAGTATTTTAATAAAAACTTAGTCTTATAGGGCAGTAATGGGTATAGGCAGTGTTTTAGGTGGGGAGACCTATTGCTAATAAGTTCTGGGGATATGGTTTCCAACTATACATTCTTGTAATAATTTTTAAAGTTTTGCTAATTTGAAGTGAATTGATAATTGCCACTTTTTGTGTGACTTGAACATCATTGTGAGATTAGTAGTGGGCCCTCCCTGACCCAGTGGTTTTCTGGTCAGGGTGGAAATATTTAGAGGGTGCTGATAAACATCTTTAAAGATTACAGGAAAACAAAAATGGAGTTCAGCTAAGAAAACAATTTCTGCTACTCTGTAATCCAGACTGTAGGCGCCATTTAGCATGGTTAAGGAAGAATTCTTAAAAATGATTGTGGAAGAGCAACATGGGAATTTTTAAAACTAGATTCTCTGTTGAGTACCCCCTGGTGTGCATATTTCTGAGCTTAACTCAATTTCCATTTGTGTTTCCTTGCTTCAGCTTTCCTTGGGCCTATGAATGGTTCCTCTGTATTTTGAGGAGGCTTCATGTTGATGCTGAGTCTGGGGCCAGACTTCTTTTTCCTCCTCCTCTTCCTTTGGCCCTGAGTCAACTTCAGTTAAGAGGAGAGGTACCTTCTTAACTATTTGGATTAGTTACATCTTGGGAATTACTCAACAATCTAGTGACTAATTTTGAATTTTAGGACTGAAAATTTTTTCTCCTTTCTGCCTCCCTCCCATCCCCAAATTAGCTTTCTAAAAAGGAAGCTTAGTGTGTTTGAGATGTCAGCCTTGCTTTTGTGAGCTGATGGATGCTCTGAAGGGACAAGCTCAATTTGTTTAAGGGAAATGTACCAAGTCACTGAAAATGTGGTGAAAGATGCCTGAGCAAGCCTTTTTTTTGTGCTGGTGAGAGACTGGGCAAGATGCTCAGAGCACAGAAAACTCATATTTTAGTGGCTTTTCTTTTTTCATTTTTATAAAGACCCTTATTCACTTTGGAGAAAAAGGTTTTAATTTTATCTTGGTTCATTTAACTGAAGATTTTGCACATTTCTGTTTGAGTTCCTGGCTTGTAAATAGTTATAAACATAGCCAGGAATAACATACCACACTACTTGCCTTTGGAATCTGAAAGAAGAGTTAGACAATTGCGCCTTCTAATAATTTTGGTCTCTTTAGCCGAAGAGAAGGTTGTGGTTGAGGAAGTGAAGACTGATTCATTTTTAAATTAAATTCTTAGGACTCATCTGTAGAATGATTTGAGACTCAAGAGCAGGGCACATGGCAACTTGCTGTTATCCCCTTTTCGTCCCATCAAGAAGAGACAAAGTTTTTAACTCTTCACATGGATTCTAACTATTTTGTCCTTTGCCTTTACAGGGACCCGGTGGCCTTAGTCTTTCAGGTGGAACGGTGTGCGACATGGGAAAGAAAACCAAGCGGACAGCTGACAGTTCTTCTTCAGAGGATGAGGAGGAGTACGTTGTGGAGAAGGTGCTAGACAGGCGTGTAGTTAAGGGACAAGTGGAATATCTACTGAAGTGGAAAGGCTTTTCTGAGTAAGTTCCTTTTTTCCCCCAGGCTTTGGTACTCTGTAGAGATAGACATCTTTGGTTTATTTCCTTAGGAATCATGAGCATCTTTGTCTTTTTCTTCCCCCTCCCGCACTCTTCCTAAGAGTTAGAAGACACAGCAGTAAACAAAACAAAATCTCCCCGCTTGTGGAGCTTATGTGCTAATGATACTGCTTTTGAAAGGCAGTATAATGAATTGGTTAGGAGCACAGACTCGTGAGTCAGATTGCCTGGATCTAGATTCTAACTCCACCACTTATGATACAAACTGGATAGCCTTGGCTAATTTCCTTAATCATTTTATCTCCTTAGTGGAATAAGGATAAACAGTAGTGCAGGCCAGGCGCGGTGGCTTGTACTCCAATCTCAGCACTTTGGGAGGCTGAGGCGGGTGGATCACCTGAGGTCAGGAGTTTGAGACCCGCCTGGCCAACATGGCGAAACCCCATCTACTAAAAATAAAAAAATTAGCTAGGTGTGGTGGCGGGCAGCTGTAATCCCAGCTACTGGGGAGGCTGAGGTAGGAGAATCACTTGAACTCAGGAGGCAGAGGTTGCAGTGAGCCAGGATTGTGCCACTGCACTCCAGCCTGGGTGACTGTGTTTTTAGTAGAGGCAGGGTTTTGCCATGTTGCTCAGGCTGGTCTGGAACTTCTAGGCTCAAATGAGCCATCTGCCTTGGCCTCCCAAAGTGCTGGAATTACAGGTGTGAGCCACCGTGCCCGGCTGTGAAATTAATTTTAATAATATTTTATTTAACCTAGTATATGAAAAATACTATTTCAGCGTTAATCAGTACAAAAGTTATTAACGAAATTTTGTGTGTGTGTGTGCTAAGACTTGAAAATCTGGGATATATTTTACACTTTATAGTGCATCTCCATTCAAACTAGCTGCATTTCAAATAGGCAGATGTGGCTAGTGGTTACCGTATTGGATGGCACAGCTCTGTAGTATAGGACCTAAATACACTGAAAGATACAGTGGTTTACCAATACTTTTGGATAAAGGCTATGTGTCAAGAACCTTTGATACATACGGGAGGTTATTTCATTACATGATCAAGGTTTCTCATCTGGAGAATTATTGGCGTGTAGGTGGGATCATTCACGCATTTTGCAGGATGCTTAGCGTCTCTAGCACCCAGAGTGCAAGTATGGGGTAGCACAACAATCAGAAGATGCCCTCTTTCTAGAGAGGAGTGGTATCATGGCTTCCACTAGTGATGAGAACTGTTGAGTTTGAGAGACCTCTAGAGCACTAACAGATAGGAACTAAAGTAACACCTGAAGATTTTGAAGATGTTTATTGGGCCCATTGAATCACCACTGGAAATATTTGGGGTATTTGAAAGATACTTGAAACTCTTTCTCTGTCATTGAGCTACTGGTGCCGTACCATAGATGAAAGGGGGAAAGATAAGGTTTGGGGTAGACAAATTAAACATTGGTCCTTACTTTTTCAGAAATGCCCTGGATTTCATAAAAGACTGCAACAAATCAGCATTGTCTATAACTGAACGCCTACTTTGTGCTAGACAGTGATCAGATTCTACCTCTCGTGCTTTTTTTGATTCTCATAAAAGCATTTAGAGTCCAGGCGTGGTGGTGTGTGCCTGTAGTCCCAGCTACTAGGGAGGCTGAAGTGGGAGGATTGCTTGAGTCCAGGAGTTCTGGGCTATAGTGCACTAAACGGATCAGGTGTCTGCATTAGGTTTGGCATCAATATAGTGACCTCCCAGGAGTGAGGGACCACCAGGTTGCCTAAGGAGGAGTGAACCAGAGCAGGTCAGAACTCCTGTTCTGAGCATTAGTGAGATCAGGCTATGAATAGCCACTGCACTCCTGTCTGGTTAACATAGCAAGACCCTGCCTCTTCAAAAACTTTAATTTTTTTAAATTTAAATTTTTACATATTTTTATCTTTAAAATAGAGACAGGGTCTCACTGTGTTACCCAGGCTGGTCTCGCACTCTTGGGTTCAACCAATCTGCCTGCCTTGGCCTCTCGAAGTGCTGGGATTATAGGTGTGAATCACTGTCCCTGGCCAACCCAGGCTCTTTTTAAATCATACTATGTTGTCTTTTGGGTGGAAACCAAAGTAGAAGCAGCAGTGCCAAAGTGTTAGGAAAAGGGATAATCCCCTTATAGGACTGGCTTTCCTAGCTTTCAACAGACTCCTCCCAACCCCCAAGTCTATTCAGCTTGTGTAATAGTGTTGGTACACCTTTCAATATTGGTATGTTAATTTCCTCTGGAATGGTAAACTATGTGGTATGTGGGTTTTGGGGAAAGTTACTGTGTGAGGAATTTTTTTTCTTGACCTTTTTTTTTTTATTTGAGACGGAGTCTCGCTCTGTCGCCCAGGCTAGAGTGCAGTGGCGCGATCTCAGCTCACTGCAAGCTCTGCCGCCTCCCAGGTTCACGCCATTCTCCTGCCTCAGCCTCCCTAGAAGCTGGGACTATAGGTGCCCGCCACCAGGCCCGGTTAATTTTTGTTTTGTTTTGTTTTGTTTTTGAGACGGAGTCTCGCTGTGTCGCCCAGGCTGGAGTGCAGTGGCGTGATCTCGGCTCACTGCAAGCTCCGCCTCCCGGGTTCACGCAATTCTCCCACCTCAGCCTCCAAGTAGCTGGGACTACAGGCGCCCGCCACCACGCCCGGCTAGTTTTTTGTATTTTTAGTAGAGACGGGGTTTCACCATGTTAGCCAGGATGGTCTCGATCTCCTGACCTCGTGATCCACCCGTCTCGGCCTCCCAAAGTGCTGGAATTACAGGCTTGAGCCACCGCGCCCGGCCATTTTTTAATATTTTTTGTAGAGACGGGGTTTCACCGTGTTCGCCAGGATGGTCTCGATCTCATGACCTCGTGATCTGCCCGCCTCGGCCTCCCAAAGTGCTAGGATTACAAGCGTGAGCCACCGCGCCCGGCCAACTTTTTTTTTTTTTTTTTTTGAGACAAGAGTTTCGCTCTTATTGCCCAGCTAGAGCGTAATGGCGCGATCTCGGCTCACTGTAACCTCCCTCTCCTGGGTTTAAAAGATTCTCCTGCCTTAGCCTCCCCCGATTAGATGGGATTACAGGTGCCTGCCACCACGCCCATCTAATTTTTGTATTTTTAGTAGAGATGGGGTTTCACCATGTTGGCCAGGCTGGTCTCGAACTCCTGACCTCAGGTGATCCACCTGCTTCCACCTCCCAAAGTGCTGGGATTAGAGACGTGAGCCACCGTGCCCGGCCGAGGAATTTTTTTTTCTGCTGCGAGAAGGGATATAAAGGAGAAGCTTTCCCATATTAGCTCAAATGATTTAGAAATAAATTTTGTCTCAATTTTGTGTTCCTTTTGTAGAAACTTGTTTAGGTCGGGAGTAAATAGCTCAGATTTTTCTATCTTTCTGCTTTCTACTTGAGTCAGGTTATTATGGCATGTGTTCAAATCATTCCCATCTGAAGAAACATTATTATTATTATTTTTTTTGAGATGGAGTTTCACTCTTGTTGCCCAGGCTGGAGTGCAATGGCTCGAACTCAGCTCACCACAACCTCCTGCCTCCCGGGTTCAAGCGATTCTCCCAACTCAACCTCCCAAGTAGCTGAGATTACAGGAAGGTGGCACTATGCCTGGCTAATTTAGTATTTTTAGTAGAGATGGGGTTTCTCCATGTTGGTCAGGCTGGTCTCAAACTCCCGACCTCAGATGATCTGCCTGAATTGACCTTCCAAAGTGCTGGGATTATAGGCGTGAGCCACCACGCCCAACAAGAAACCTTATTTAAAACAAGCAAAGGCCGGGCGCGGTGGCTCACGCCTGTAATCCCAGCACTTTGGGAGGCCAAGACAGGCAAATCAGTTGAGGTCAGGAGTTCAAGACCAGCCTGGTCAACAGGAGGAAGCCCCATGTTGGGCGAAATTAGCTGGGTGTGGTGGTGGGTACCTGTAATCCCAGCTACCCGGGATTCTGGGACAGGAGAATCACTTGAACCCAGGAGGCGGAGGTTGCAGTGAGGCGAGATCGTGCCATTGCACTCCAACCTGGGCAACAGAGCCAGACTCCATCTCAAAAAAAAAAAAAAGAAAAAAACATAATAAAAAATAATAAATAAATAAAACCAACAAATAAAATACCCAAGATGGGCTGAGTGTGGTAGCTCACTCCTGTAACACCAGCACTTTGGGAGGCCAAGGCAGGAGGACTGCTTGAGCCCAGGAGTTTGAGATCAGCCTAGGCAACATAGTGAGACCCCATCTCTACCCCCCAAAAAAAAAAGTAGCTAGACATGGTGGTGCGCTGCTAGTCCTAGCTACTTGGAATTCTGAGGCGGGAGGATCACTTGAGCCTGGGAGGTCAAGGCTGCAGTGAGTCGTGATCATGCCACTGCATTCCAGACTGGGTGACAGGGTGGAGGCATTGTCTTAAAAAAAAAAAAATCTAAAAAAAATGAGTAACAGTTATTTAAGATTATAAACTGGCAGTGCATAATATATTCTTCTTAATTTTTGAAACAGCGTATTGCTCTGTTGCCCAGGCTGGAGTGCAGTGGCACGATCTTGGCTCGCTGCAAGCTCCGCCTCCCGGGTTCACGCCATTCTCTCACCTCAGCCTCCCGAGTAGCTGGGACTGCAAGCGCCCGCCACCACACCTGGCTAATTTTTTGTATTTTCAGTAGAGATGGGGTTTCACCGTGTTAGCCAGGATGGTCTCGATATCCTGACCTCTTGACCTGCCTGCCTCGGCCTCCCAAAGTGCTGGGATTACAGGCATGAGCCACCGCACCTGGCTGCATAATTTATTATTTATTAACTTGTCCTTTCCGGGAGTTGCACAGATGATTGTATGTGTGAAATCATGCTGTTTTTGCCACTTTGAAACCAGAATTCAAATTTGGGTTTTTATTTTTAAGAATTATTTATTTATTTATTTTTATTTTTATTTTTATTTTTTTCATTTTTTTTTTTTTTGAGACGAAGTCTCACTCTGTCGCCTAGGCTTGAGTGCAGTGGCGCGATCTCGGCTCACTGCAGCCTCTGTCTCCTGGGTTCAAGCAGTTCTCCTGCCTGGCCTCCCAAGTAGCTGAGACTATAGGCACGCGCCACCATGGCTGGCTAATTTTTTATATTTTTAGTATAGACGGGGTTTCACCATATTAGCCAGGATGGTCTCCATCTCCTGATCTCGTGATCTGCTTGCCTTGGTCTCCCAAAGTGCTGGGATTATAGGCATGAGCCACCTCGCCTGGCCTATTTTTTATTTTTTGAGATGGAGTCTTGCTCTGTCGCCCAGGATGGTGTGCAGTGGCGTGATCTCAGTTCACTGCAGCCTCCTCCTCCTGGGTTCAAGTGATTCTCCCGCCTCAGCCTTCTGAATAGCTGGGACTACAGGTGCGCACCACCAGTCCTGGCTAATTTTTGTATTTTTAGTAGAGATAGGGTTTCATCATGTTGGCCAGGCTGGTCTCAAACTCCTGACCGCAGGTGATCTGCCCACGTTGGCCTCCCAAAGTGCTGGGATTACAGGCATGAGCCACCGTACCTAGCCAGCAAAGTTTTTTTTTTTTTTTTTGAAAGGAAGTCTTGCTCTGTCACCCACACTGGAGTGCAGTGGTGCAATCTTGGCTCACTGCAACCTGCAACCTCCACCTCCCAGGTTCAAGTGATTCTCCTGCCTCAGCCTCCCAGGTAGCTGGGATTACAGGTGTGCACCACAACACCCAGATAATTTTTTGTTTTTTGTTTTGTTTTGTTTTGAGATGGAGTCTCATGTGTCACCCAGGCTGGAGTGCAGTGGCCTGATCTTGGCTCACTGCAACCTCTGCCTCCTGAGTTCAGGTGATTCTCCTGCCTTAGCCTCCTGAGTAGCTGGGACTACAGGCATGTGCCACCACGCCTGGTTAATTTTTGTAGTTTTTGTAGAGATGGGGTTTCACCGTGTTAGCCAGGACGGTCTCGAACTCCCAACCTTGTTATCCGCACGCCTCAGCCTCCCAAAGTGCTGGGATTACAGGCGTGAGCCATCGCACCCAGCCATGATTTTGGCAGTTTTAGTAGAGACAGGGTTTCACCACGTTGGCCAGGCTGGTCTGGAACTCCTGACCTCAGGTGATCCACCCCCTTCAGCCTCCCAAAGTACTGGGATTACATGCATGAGCCACCGTGCCTGGCTGAAATTTGGGTTTTTAAACAGCTTTATCGAGGTATAAACACCATAAAATTCACCCATTGAAATTGTACAATTCAGGCTGGATACGGTGGCCACTCAAATTCCAGCACTTTGAGTGGCCGAGGCAGGCGGATCACTTGAGGTCAGGAGTTCGAAACCAGCCTGGCCAACGTGGTGAAACCCCGTCTCTACTAAAAATACAAAAATTGGTGGCGCACGCCTGTAATCCCAGTTACCGGGGAGGCTGTGGCCAGAGAATCGCTTAAACCTGGAGGTTGCAGTGAGCCGGTATCACACCACTGCACTCCAGCCTGCAAGACAGAGTGAGACTCCCATCTTAAAAAAAAAAAAATTGTACAAATTCAGTGATTTTCTTTTTTGTTTGTTTGTTGGTTTTTTTTTTTGTTTTTTTTTGAGACAGTATCTTACTCTGTTACCCAGGTGGGAGTGCAGTGGTACTGTCACGGTTCACTGCAGCCTCAGCCTTCTGGGCTCAAGGGATCCTCTCATTTCAGCCTCCCAAGTAGCTGGGACTACAGGTGCAAGCCACCATGCCTGAGTAATTTTAAAGTTTCTGTGGAGACAGAGTCTTGCTATGTTGCTTAGGCTGGTCTTGAACTGGTGGGCTCAAGTGATTTCCTCACTTTGGCCTCCCAAAGTGCTGAGATTATAGGCGTGAGCCACTGCGCCCAGCCCAATTAAATGATTTTTTTTTTTTTTTTTTTTTTTTGGTGATAGTGTCTCACTCTGTTGCCCAGACTGGAATGCGGTGGTTTAATCTTGGCTCACTACAACCTCAGCCTCCCAGATTCAAGCAGTTCTCATGTCCTAGCCTCCTGAGTAGCTGGGACTGCAGGTGTGCACCACCAAGCCCAGCTAATTTTTGTATTTTTAGTGGAGACAGGGTTTTGCAATATTGACCAGGCTTGTCTTGAACTCCTGAGTGCCTCCCAAAGTGCTGGGATTACAGGCGTTAGCCACTGTGCCTGGCTCCAATTAAATGATTTGTAGTAAATTTATAGAGCTATGCAACCACCACTGTGATCCAGGTTTAGAACATTTTCGTGTCCCCCAAAATTAATTCTCTTGATTCCCGTTTGTAGTTAATTACAACTCCCTCAGCCCCAGGCAATCACTGATCTGCTTTTTTTTTTTTGAGACAGTATGGCTTTTTCGCCCAGGCTGGAGTGTAGTGGCGCAATCTCAGCTCACTGCAACCTCCCCTTCCTGGGCTCAAGCGATTCTCCTGCCTCAGCCTCCCAAGTAGCTGGGACTACAGGTGTGTACCGCCATACCAAGCTATTTTTTTTTATTTTTAGTAGAGGCACGGTTTCACTGTGTTGGCCAGGCTGGTCTCAAACTCCTGACCTCAAGTGATCTGCCTGCCTTGGTCTCCCAGAGTGCTGGGATTACAGGTGTGAGCCACTGTGCCTGGCTGATCTGCTTTCTGTCTCTATAACTTTGTCTTTCTCAGACATTTCATATAAATGGAATTAGACAATATGTAGTATCTTGTGTCTTACTTCTTTCACTTAGTATAATGTTTTTGGGTTTCTTCCAAGTTGTAGCATGTTGTAGTATTTTATTTTTGTTGAATAATATTCCTTTGTATGGATATACCACATTTTGTTTTTCCATGTCACTATCCATTGATGAACATTTGAATTTGTTTTCTGTTTTTGACTATTAAAATGCTGCTGTAAACAATTGTAAATAAGTCTTTGTGTGGGCCTTTTTTTTTTTTTTTATATTTTTCCTGGGTAGAAATCTAGGATCAAATTTGTTATCTTCTTTAAAGCGTAGGGTTTCTCTGTGCTTTTTGTCTGAATGTCCTCTTTGAAATAAGGCATTGGATATTTTTCCTCATTCTTTACTCTTCCCCCCCTTTTTTTAAAAAAATTTTCCCATTTTTCTTACCCAGGGAGCACAATACTTGGGAACCTGAGAAAAACTTGGATTGCCCTGAGCTAATTTCCGAATTTATGAAAAAGTATAAGAAGATGAAGGAGGGTGAAAATAATAAACCCAGGGAGAAGTCAGAAAGTAACAAGAGGAAATCCAATTTCTCAAACAGTGCCGATGATATCAAATCCAAAAAAAAGAGAGAGGTAAGCTTCTTTTCCCTTTTTCCCCACAAACTATTCTTTTGCCACCAAAATAATAATAATAATACATAGAAGTATCATATTTTGGTTATTTCTATTGTAAGGATGGACCTATGAGGTAAATTGTTGAACAAAAGAGCTTCCAGGGAGGTATGTTGATTACAGCTCCCTCTCCTGGCTAAGTGAGAAATGTAATTTGTGGCCACTGAATTGTATTAAGGTGGCAAAATTAAATCTTTATAAACTGTTAAATCACTCCTCTGCCTTCTCCATAAGTAGAGGACTTAGTTATCTTAGAGAAAGAGGATCATTGGTGAATTTTTTAAGAATAGAAAGGGGCTTTGAAATGTTTTGTTTTGAGACAGAGTCTTGCTCTGTTGCCCAGGCTGGAGTGCAGTGACTCGATCTCAGCTCACTGCAATCTCCGCCTCCTGGCTTCAAGCGATTCTCCTGCCTCAGTAGTAGCTGAGATTATAGGCGCACGCCACCACGCCCGGCTGATTTTTGTATTTTTAGTAGAGACAGGGTTTCACCATGTTGGTCAGGCTAGTCTTGAACTCCTGACTTCGTGATCTGCCTGCCTCGGGCTCCGAAAGTGTTGAGATTACAGACATGAGCCACCGTGCCTGGCCGGGGCTTTGAAATGTTTACCATGTCACTTCCTTTTTTCTTTTTTCTTTTTTTTTGGAGACAGAGTATCTCTCTGTCACCCAGGCTAGAGTGCAATAGTATGATCTTGGCTCACTGGAATCTCCACCTCCTGGGTTCAAGTGATTCTCCTGCCTCAGCCTCCCAAGTAGGTGAGATTACAGGCACACGCCACCATGCCTGGCTAATGTTTTGTATCTTTAGTAGAGACAGGGTTTCACCATCTTGGCTGGGCTGGTCTCAAACCCCTGACCTTGTGAGCCACCCGCCTTGTCCTCCCAAAGTGCTGGGATTATAGCCGTGAGCCACTGCACCCGGCCCTTTTTTTTGTTCCAGTGATAGCATTTGCTTTCAATCGTTGATAATCTTTTTTTGCAGTGAAAATCATATAATATACAATTAAATATTTTATTTATTTTTATTTATTTATTTATTTTTGAGATAGAGTCTTGCTCTGTCACCCAGGCTGGAGTGCAGGGGCATGATCCCAGCTTACTGCAACCTTCACCTCCTGGGTTCAGGCAATTCTCCTGTCTCAGCCTCCTGAGTAGTTGGAATTACAGGCATGTACCACCGCAGCCAACTAATTTTTGTATTTTTATTTTTATTTTTTATTTATTTATTTTTTTGAGATGGAGTTTCACTCTTGTTGCCCAGGCTGGAGTTCAATGGCATGATCTTGGCTCACTGCACCCTCCGTCTCCTGGGTTCAAGTGATTCTCCTACCTCAGCCTTCCAGAGTAGCTGGGATTACAGGCATGCACCACCATGCCTAGCTAGTTTTGTATTTTTTTTTTTTTTTTTTTTTGAGACAGAGTCTCGCTCTGCTGTCCAGGCTGGAGTGCAGTGGCGTGATCTTGGCTCATTGCAAGCTCCGCCTCCCGGGTTCACGCCATTCTCCTGCCTCAGCCTCCCGAGTAGCTGGGACTACAGGCGCCCGCCACCTCGCCCGGCTAGTTTTTTTTTTGTATTTTTTAGTAGAGACGGGGTTTCACCGTGTCAGCCAGGATGGTCTCCATCTCCTGACCTCGTGATCCGCCCGTCTCGGCCTCCCAAAGTGCTGGGATTACAGGCTTGAGCCACCGCGCCCGGCCTAGTTTTGTATTTTTAGTAGAGAGAGTGTTTCTCCACGTTGGTCAGGCTGGTCTTGAACTCCGGAACTCAGGTGATCCACCTGCCTTGGCCTCCCAAAGTGCTGGGATTACAGGTGTGAGCCACTGCGCCTGGCTCAGTTAACAATTTTAAAGTGTACAGTTCAGTGGCATTTATATTCTCTCGATCTATTAGTTCTACATACTTGACATACAAAATTAATTTTTGTCTTTTGAATCTTCTTCAGTTTGGGAAGTGTATGAAATTTTGGTTTGATTTAGTTGCTTTAATCCTTCTGATTTTTAGCTCTCAAGTAAGTAGAATAAGCACTGTTATTGCCTCTCTCTTTTTTCATCTGTGTGTGGGCGCATAAATACACACACTCTTCCATCTCCTCCCGCCCCCAGCTTCCACTCCTTTCATTTATTTCAAGGTTATGAAGCCTTTTGTGGTGAAGGATGTATCATACACTTTACATTTAATAAAAGCATAAGTCTACTTCGGAATCTTCCAGCCTTCCAGAGTAGCAGCCACAATCATCCCTATTTATCTTCATTGTAATTAGATATATACCTTTCTAGAACATTAGTTCCTAACCCTGTCTACACATTATAATCACCTGGGGGGTACGTTGAAAAAATTTCTAGTGCCTAAGATGCACCCCAGACCAGTAAAATTAGAATTTTTTTTTTTTTTTTAAGACAGAGTCTTGCTTTGTCACCCAGCCTGGAGTGCAGTGGCACGATCTCACTGCAACCTCTGCCTCCTGGGTTCAAGCGATTCTCCTGCTTCAGCCTTCCTAGTAGCTGGGACTACAGGCACATGCCACCACACCTGGCTAATTTTTTGTATTTTTAGTAGAGACAGGGTTTCACCATGTTAGCCAGAATGGTCTCAATCTCCTGACCTGGTGATCCAACTGCCTCGGCCTCCCAAAGTGCTGTGATTACAGGCGTGAGCCACCACGCCTGGCCTCTGTCATTTTTAAAAAGGAGCTGTCTGAATAATCTGGCTTAGAAGCACTGGCCAGTGCAGAGAGTTTTTGTTCTTAGGCCAGGTTCTGAAGCTGCCAACCTTGAAAACAACCCCCACATGTCCCTTACATCATAATGTTCATCTGGGGCCCCTGATAGCATTCTTAGCAGTACTGGCTGCTGTCAGGTAGACAGCTGAGATGATAGGTGATTGTATGTTTTAAAGGTACAGGAGGGGATTGTGTATCTTTTTTAAGACCCCTGGAGAAGAAATTTGTTAGTTTGCATTATGCCTGATTTAAGATTACTGCCTGTATGATGATTTTAGCATTTTCTTCGCCCCGGCTCCTTTTCAGCAACTTGAACATTTTTCTTCCATTTGCCTCCCCTTCCCTCCCTATGTAGCAAACTATTTTCAGTTGCCAGTTATGATTTACAACTTAGTCCATGTGCCAGCATTCCAGCTGTGAGCAGCTGTGTGAACATCTGGGAACTTCTTCCCCGTAAGCGCCCCTAAAAGAGGCTATGTTTTTAAAAGTCAGTATCTCTCATTGATCCATGCATGGAATTTCCTTCCAATTGTGGATTTTGGTATCTTTGGGGACCACCCGGACCCCAAATGCTTTGTATGTCTCAGAGGAAAGCAAGTGAACATAAGATCAAAGAGATTTTATTATGAAAATCAGGCAGTAGATATTTAGTTCATTTGGGCACCTCTAAATCTTTTTTTTGTGTTGTCACTGGAGAGGCTAACATTATCTTCCATAATAAAGTTTTTAAAAATTCTCTAGTTTAGGCCGGGTGTGGTGGCTCACACCTGTAATCCCAGCACTTTGGGAGGCTGAGGCATGTGGGTCACTTGAGGCCAGGAGTTCGAGACCAGTGTGGTCAACATGGTGAAACCATGTTGAAAATACAAAAATTAGTCAGGCGTAACTGGGTGTGATGGCTCCCGCCTGTAATCTCAGCACTTTTGGGAGGCCGAGGTGGGATGGATCACCTGAGGCCAGGAGTTTGAGACCAGCCTGGCCAACAAGGTGAGACCCCCATCTCTACTAAAAATGGAAAAATTAGCCAGGTGCAGTGGCATGCACCTGTAATCCCAACTACTCGGGAAGCTGAGGCAGGAGAATCACTTGAACCTGGCAGGCGGAGGCTGCAGTGAGCCGAGATTGCGCCACTGCACTTTAGCCTGGGCAACAGAGGGAGACTGTCTCAAAAAAAAAAAAAAAATTACCTGGCTTGTATAAAATTTTGCTTTTTGGCTCTCATCAGTATTATTACACCTGGATTAGAACCTGTGCTCCTTGTCTAGATTGTATTACTGCATTTAGACCAAGTTTCAGTACTCATCTCATCAATTATCAAATTTTCTTCTTTCTGTCTTAAGAGACAGGTTCTCACTATGTTGCCCACCATGGAGCACAGTGGCATGATCATAGCTCACTGCAGCCTCGAACTCCTGGGCCCTGGGCCTCAGCCTCCTGAGTTGGAGTAGCACACTTCAGGTGTGCACCACTGTGCCCAGCTAATTTACAGAGACAGTTGCCTATGCTGGTCTCCAACTTCCAGTCTCCTCCTGTCTCAGCCTCCCAAAGTGATGGGATTACAGGCATGAGTCACTGCACCAAGCCAGTTTTTTGTTTTTGTTTTCTTTTTTGTTTTTGTTTTCAATCACAGTCCAGTTCTGCCTTCTAATGCTAGCAATCATCTACATCCAGAGGGGATAGGCATTGACCCAGGGCCTTCTGTCCAACCAAGCATATAAGTATTGGTGTTTGTGATCTCTGAAATTTTGCTATTTAATAGTATTGGCCTTGCATAATTCTTATCTCTATTCTTTCATAAATATAGGCGACTGTGAAATGTGTTAAAATTATTGGTTAGTGTTAAGGTAAACTAAAAGTCTAAAAAAATAAAGATTGAGAGAGAGGTAGTATATTTGAAGTTCATAAGATGAAAAGATATAGTTAGGGTAAACAGGGTATTCTTTAACATTTCAGAAGCTTATTTACAATATTAAGGAGATTCCAAGTGAGTGGGATTAGAGGAATTCCTAGATGTTGACTCCAGAGTATCTTTTTTTTTTTTGAGACGGAGTCTTGCTGTGTTGCCTAGGCTGAAATTCTGTGGTGCGATCTCTGCTCACTGCAATCTCCGCATCCCAGGTTCAAGCAATTCTCCTGCCTTAGTCTCTCGAGTAATTGGGGTTACAGGCACCTGCCACCACGCCTGGCTATGTTTTTGTATTTTTAGTAGAGATGGGGTTTCACCGTGTTGGCCAGGCTGGTTTTGAACTCCTGAGCTTGTGATCCGCCCGCCTCGGCCTCCCAAAGTGCTGGGATTACAAGCGTGAGCCACCATGCCTGGCTGACTCCAGAATATCTTATAGGACATTAGAGACTTTTAGGGTTCACCTCCAATCTTCTGGAGGAATTCCAGGAAAGATAATCACATCTTTTTTTTTTTTGAGACGGAGTCTTGCTATGTCGCCCAGGCTGGAGTGCAGTGACCGGATCTCAGCTCACTGCAAGCTCCACCTCCCGGGTTCACACCATTCTCCTGCCTCAGCCTCCCGAGTAGCTGGGACTACAGGCGTCCGCCATCTCGCCCGGCTAGTTTTTTGTATTTTTTAGTAGAGACGGAGTTTCACTGTGTTAGCCAGGATGGTTTCGATCTCCTGACCTCGTGATCTGCCCGTCTCGGCCTCCCAAAGTGCTGGGATTACAGGCTTGAGCTACCGTGCCTGGCCGATAATCACATCTTACAAAAATATCTCTTGGCATCACTGTCACTTCATTGTCACTGTCAGTACTTAGTATTAAGTTCTAAAAATTTTTCTGAACTGGTGACAGAAATGATATCAGGAGATATTAACTTAGGTTGTGTTTTGTTGAGCCTAGAAACAGGGAGTTTCTTTACTCTTTCCACAAGCTGTAACCTTTCTTCGTCTTCTATTTATAGCAGAGCAATGATATCGCTCGGGGCTTTGAGAGAGGACTGGAACCAGAAAAGATCATTGGGGCAACAGATTCCTGTGGTGATTTAATGTTCCTAATGAAATGGTGAGAGAGATTTGGCTTCATGTTACAATTGTGTTTCTTTGCCAGTGACTTGAATTTGTGCGGAAGATAGGGTGGCAAGATTGTGTATTCCCAAACCATGAATTTTCAATGTCAGAGATTTTTTTTTTTTGAAACAGTGTTTCGCTCTTTGTTGCCCAGGCTGGAGTGCAGTGGCGCAATCTCACTCAGCTCACTGCAACCTCCGCCTCCCAGGTTCAAGTGATTCTCCTGTCTCAGCCTCCCAAGTAGCTGGGATTAGAGGCGCCCACCATCATGCCTGGCTAATTTTTGTATTTTAATAAATAAATAAATTAATTAATTAATTTTGAGGCAGAGTCTTGCTCTTGTTGCCCAGGCTGGAGTGCAATGGTGCAATCTTGGCTCACCGCAACCTCCACCTCCGGGTTCGAGCAATTCTCCTGCTTCAGACTCCCAAGTAGTTGGGATTACAGGTATGCACTGCCATGCCTGGCTAATTTTATATTTTTAGTAGAGACAGGGTTTCTCTTTGTTGTTCAGGCTGGTCTCAAACTCCCGACCTCAGGTAATCTGCCTGCCTTGGCCTCCCAAAGTGCTGGGATTAAGGCATGAGCCACTGTGCCTGGCCCATTTTTGTATTTTTAGTAGAGACGGGGTTTTGCTGTGTTAGCCAGGCTGGTCTTGAACTCCTGGAATATCAAGAGATCCTTGCTGATACCAATTATTGGTGTTAAATGGGAATTATGCTTCAGAATGGCTTGCTATTAAGCCAAATTATATTAGATTACATATCAGAAAAAAAGGTAAATTTGAGGTAGAAAATATGTAAAGGTTGGGTGCAGTGGCTCACACCTGTAATCCCCACACTTTGGGTGGTCAAGGCAGGCGGATCGCTTGAGGTCAGGAGTTCGAGGCTAACCTGCTTAACGTGGTGAACCCCCATCTCTACTAAAAATACAAAAATTAGCTGGACGTGGTGGCGCATGCCTGTAGTCCAGCTACTTGAGAGACTGAGGAAGGAGAATTGCTTGAACCTGGGAGGCGGAGGTTGCAGTGAGCTGAGATCTAGCCATTGCACTCCCGCCTGAGTGACAGAGCGAGACTCCATCTCTTAAAAAAAAAAAAAAAAAAAATATATATATATATATATATATATATAAAAACAACATGACTTAACCATTTGTTTACACAGTTCTGAATTACATACTGTAAGACTATGGGCCTGTGACCCTGGGCTAGACATCAAATGAGGCTTTCTGCCATCCCTGAGGGCCAAACCTGCTGAATAATGTCTGAAAGAGAAAAATAATCTCAACAAAAAGCATTAAAGCTAATACTGGCCAAAGCACAAGTTATTTCATTCTATAGAGAGAGAATGGCGCTAAGATGAAAAGGAAGTAGTTCTTCTCAATTTGATTTCTCTTTTTTTGAGATGGAGTCTGTTTTGCCTGGTGTGTAGTGACGCGAACTTGGCTCACTGCAACCTCCGCCTCCCGGGTTCAAGCGATTCTCCTGCCTCAGCCTTCCAAGTAGCTGGGATTACAGGCACCTACCACCATGCCTGGCTAATTTTTGTATTTTTGGTAGCGATGGGATTTCGCCATGTTGGTCAGGCTGGTCTTGAACTCCTGACCTCAAGCAATCCGCCTGCCTTGGCCTCCCAAAGTGCTGGGATTACAGGCGTGAGCCACTGCACCCAGCCCTAATTTGATTTCTTAAAGACAGGGTGATTTATGGTGTGGCCCTCACTACCTCTCTGTTTCCAAGTATTCTGGATTTGTCATACATAGAGGGTTTATGTTACAGTGCCACTAAAGAAATATGTTACCTTAAAAGTTATATAATCAAGACCGGGCGTGGTGGCTCACGCCTGTAATCCCAGCACTTTGGGAGGCCGAGACGGGCAGATCACAAGGTCAGGAGATTGAGACCATCCTGGCTAACATGGTGAAATCCCGTCTCTACTAAAAATACAAAAAAAAGTAGCCGGGCTTGGTGGTGGGCATCTGTAGTCCTAGCTACTCGGAAGGCTGAGGCAGGAGAATGGTGTGAACCCGGGAGGCGGAGCTTACAGTGAGCCAAGATTGCACTACTGCGCTCTAGCCTGGGCAATAGAGCGAGAGACTGTCCCCCCGCCCCAAAAAAAGTTATATAATCAAAAGGCTTAATATTTTATCTGATGAGAGTACTGCTGGTAAATTACCCAGAAACCTGTATTGGAAGATTTGCCATATTCAGAAGTAAGGAGCTATATGGACTGCTTGTTTTGTTTTGTTTTTTGAGACAGAGTCTTGCCTTATCACCCAGGCTGGAGTGCAGTGGTACCATCTCGTCTCACTGCAACCTTCGCCTCCCAGGTTCAGGCAGTTCTCATCCCCCAACCACCTAAGTAGCTGGGATTATAGGCATGTGCCACCACACCTGGGTAATGTTTATATTTTTAGTAGAGACGGAGTTTCATCATGTTGGCCAGGCTCGTCTCGAACTCCTAAGCTCAAGCAATCCACCTGCCTCAGCTTCCCAAAGTGCTGGGATTACAGGTGTAAGCCACCACGCCCAGGCTGGACTGCTTTTTTAAAATTTTATTTTAGGCCGGGCGCGGTGGCTCAAGTCTGTAATTGCAGCACTTTGGGAGGCCGAGACGGGCGGATCACAAGGTCAGAAGATCAAGACCATCCTGGCTAACACGGTGAAACCCCGTCTCTACTAAAAAGTACAAAAAACTAGCTGGGCGAGGTGGCAGGCGCCTGTAGTCCCAGCTACTCGGGAGGCTGAGGCAGGAGAATGGCGTAAACCCGGGAGGCGGAGCTTGCAGTGAGCTGGGATCCGGCCACTGCACTCCAGCCTGGGCAACAGAGCAAGACTCCGTCTCAAAAAAAAAAAAAAAAAAAAATTTATTTTAGGCAGTGTCTTGCCCTGTCACCCCAGCTGGAGTGCAGTGGCGTGATCACAGCTCACTGCAGCCTTGACCTCCTGGGCTCAAGTTATCTTCCTACCTAGGTCTCCTGAGTAGCTGGGACTACAGGTGCATGCCAACATGGCCTGCTAATTTTTAAAATTTTTTTTGAAGAGACCAGGTTTCCTATGTTGCCCTGGGTTCAAGTGCTTCTCTCACCTCGGCCTCCCAAAGTGCTGGGATTATAGGTATGAGGCACTGCGCCTGGGCTGGACTGCTTTTTCCTACTCAGCCATATGTGGTTACTTACGATTTACATTAACATTAATTAGCTTTTTCCACCGTAGTCCATATTTGAGTATCTGCTCCAATAAGGTGGTAATTTTTCTTGTCCACATCTCAGGATAATTTTATTTTGTTTTTTATTATTTATTTATTTTGAGACAGGGTCTCGCTCTGTTGCCCAGGCTGGAGTTCAGTGGTTCGATCTCAGCTCACTGCAACCTCCACCTCCTAAGCCCAAGTGATCCTCCCACCTCAGCCTCCCAAGTAGCTGGGACCACAAGTGTGCACCACCATGCCTAGCTAATTTTTGTATTTTTTGGTAGAGATGGGTTTTGCCATGTTGCCCAGGCTGGTCTCGAACTCCTGGGCTCAAGCGATCCACCTGCCTCAGCCTCCCAAAGTGCTAGGATTACAGGCGTGAGCTACTGTGCCTGGGCTTCTCAGGATAATTTTAATTTTTTAAAAACTGATTTGGAATCATGTTTAAGGAACCATGTGGCTAGATTTTTTTGTTATACTTGGTAGTAGAGGTTGTGTAACTGAGATAATTGAAATTTGTAGCTAAATTTTTATTTGCTTGTTGTTCCAATCCACAGTTCTGACCAGAGGGGTAATAAGTATTTAAACAGACACAAAGTGAGGAGGGTTAAGACCTCTTCACTTAGATGATCTGGAAACTGGATTGACCAACCTGTGTATAATTGACTTATGCATAATTAATAGAGCTGAATGTAGGTTTGATTGGGTTCACTCACATGCTTGTATTCACAAATAAAAATTTTGGAAGCAGATTAATATTATTTATCATTCAGCTTTTTAACCTAAGCCTACCATGGTTTACATCTAAATTCTAGCTACAGACATCTGTTTCTGTATATTAGGTATTAATCCATTTACTTAAATTTCTTCTTGAAAATATTGAAAGGGTCCTTTTCACCTTGAAACCAAGGTGAGGAGGAAATCAAGTCAATTAAATCCATATAATGACATAAACTTACGTCTGGACAGATTCTTTCACTCTTCCTCTCCTTTTAAATCTCATATTATTTCTCTCCAGGAAAGACACAGATGAAGCTGACCTGGTTCTTGCAAAAGAAGCTAACGTGAAATGTCCACAAATTGTGATAGCATTTTATGAAGAGAGACTGACATGGCATGCATATCCTGAGGATGCGGAAAACAAAGAGAAAGAAACAGCAAAGAGCTAAAGGAGGGGATGGTCTCTGTCATTTCTCTTTGTACATAATACATTCACCTCCCTGCCTCCTCTCCCTTCTACCCACCCCTTTCTATCCTAAACACATCCATAAAAAATGTGCTTATCACTGTGCTCCACAGGAGAAATGTTGGTATTGGTTCTCTTGTAACATAACTGATGGTCTGATTAATGATGAGTGTCTCTCTGTGAAGACCAGGCATTTACATACTGAGTGTAATACCCACAATTTTTTTTTCCTTTGCCCTGATCTCTTCCTTCTGCTCCCCTGTGACCTCAAGATGAGTTTTAACTTTTTAATCACCTTAGAGTCTTGATTTTTAGATTGGGGGATTTTGTCACAATGATGTTGAATTTTGGTTTCTTGCTTTGGTTCTTAGAACATGTTGCTGACTAGCTGGCCTTTGTTCTGACATGTTGAGATGGAAAGGATGTTGCCCGTCTGTTAAAAAGCCAATAGCAACTGCCTACCTGTTGGGGCTTTCCCAACCTTGTTCAGCTCTACCCAGGAGAATACAGGGTTTCTGGTGTGGTCTTCTGGGCCACCCTCTGTTGTTCATCCTCACTTATCCTCCCAGAATTACTCCATCCTTTGGAAGATTTGAAATTTTACACTGAAATTTGTCAAGACACTCTTTTTAGCCCCAGGACTTTTGGTCTTGCTTTTAGCACTCTCCACTTCTGCTTCTGTAAAGTGATATCAATTTGTGATAAAATGACAAGATTATTAACTGTGGAGATTTTTAGCTATAGTACATGAGGATGATGGGGTAGGGTACAATTGTCTTTATTATCACATATGGTATGTATGTATGATTTCTTTCCATTCCTCATATTTAGACTGTATATTTATGTAGGTGTGAGTGTTTGCCTGGTGCTTGCTTGTGCCAAGGTGCTAGGCACCCTCCAAGCCTGCCAACTTTTGTGGCCTCCCAAAGCATTCCTGTTACCAAAGAGGCTTCAAACCTGACCCTCACTTCTCAGTGGACCCGAGTTTCCCTTCCATGCCATTATTTTCAGTGGGGAAGTTTTAGAGGTGAGCTGTTGGCCACAATATCAATTTTAAGTATTCATAGCAGTTAAAAGTCTCTTGCATTCTTGGCTCCTGGATTTACCACCAAGAGTCCCCAAAATATTAATGCTCTTCCCTTTTTCTACCCTCAAACTTATAGTTGTATCTTATTTTTTAAAATGAATTTTCATGGCCCGGCACAGTGGCTACCACCTGTAATCCCAGCACTTTGGGAGGCTGAGGCAGGAGAATTGCTTGAAGCCAGAAGTTTGAGACCAGCCTGGGTAATGTAGTGAGACCCCTGTCTCTAAAAAATATAAATAAATAAAAATAAAGGCATGTTCCTAAAAGACTATCACCTTGGAAAGTGACAGGCCCTGGCATTATTAGCATGTTGACACAACCTTTTCTCCTTACTCAGCAAAATATTTCCTTTTGGTTTCTTCTTGTGTTGCTATTATATTGAGAAATTTGTCTGATCATATCCTTCTGCCTTTGTCCCCCAAGAAATGTCCTACTTTATCCTTTTCTTTTTGTGGTTGAGGAGGGCTAGAGAATCACAATTAGAAGTAAGGAAATAGCAGGGTTTTGAGGACCCTTGCCCCAGCCCCAAAGCTGAGGAAATAAGAATAAATGCTTAATATAGCCTTAATTCTAGAGTGCACCAGCCATGAGGCTGCTTTTCTTGTTGCTTTTGATTTTTAAAACATACAGCTGTCTGGCCAGGAGCATCCACCATTTCTAGATTATTCAGAGTAATGAGGGGAATGGATGGATTGCTCCAGTCCACAGATGAGCCACATAATATGCAAATCATATACCCATTCATAGCATTTGTTAACATTGCTTCCCTGCTCAGCTGCTGATTGAATTCTGTGTGCTTATATAAATTATGTCAAAAATTATACTGCATAATTGAGGTGACAGCTGTTGCTGCAGTGACATGACAGACTGGAACAATGAAGCTTTTGGTTTAAGTCAGCTAGGAAAATCCTTCTGAATGGTAATGTGATTGAGCAAGAGCTCATAAACCATACCTCAAGTGGGTGGGAGTTTTATCTGTATATTCCTTCTCTCTCTGAAGGAATTAAAGGCCTAGATCAAGTGCTGGATAATTGTCAATTGCTTGTACTTAATCTGATCGGTTTCTAAAAGAAGGAAAGGATGGTCAGGAAACAGATTTATCATAAATGTAGCCAAGGATATCAATTAGGGTAGACAAGAATAGGACAAAAATAGGCCAGAGCTCCTGAGGAGGTGATTTGGGTCTCGATTTGCAGAAAATGACAGCCTATCCACGTGGCCCAGTGTATGCCTCCCAGTAGCAGTGGGCATGTAAACTGCAGTGACCAGATTTTTAAAACTAAAAATCTCTAGTATATGGACAAAGAACATGACAATATTTGGTACTGAGATTGGTTCTGAGAAACTTGGGGCACATGGCTGCTGTGGTTACAGGTAATATTTAAGACATTCATAACAATCTGATATTCTTTTTACCGAAATAACCCCAGTATCATCTACTACTTATCATCTCTTTAATAGACTTTTGTCTTTCTTGTTTTTGGTTTATTGTACTGAGTGCCGCCAAAACAACTTTTGTTCTCTTCCTGCCTACCTGCAGCTGGTTCTATAGGAATATAGGGAGCTAGAAGCCAATACTGATTTCAGCCCTTAGCACAAAGGAAATCAGATGCCTGCTTCCAGCATTTGTTAGTGTTGAGTAGATGTTCTTGCCCTAGAAGAATTAACAGCCTCAAACAGAAACCTGTTTCATGGAGCTTTCCCCCCTCAGAAGAGTTAATAGTTAAGTGCTAAGCACTCTTAAATTCCTGGGTCTCAAATGCTAAAAGTATATTTTTCCTGTGTTTTAGTCCTCTTTCAAGAAATCTTTCTAATCCTTTCAATAATCAGCATTAAAAGATCTTCCTTTCTTCAGAGTTATAGCACAGCTTTGTCCAGTAGAGTCTACCAAGGACAGCTTAGCAGCTCTTTGATCGCTGGGCTAGGCAGATGGCCTTCAAGTTAAGATCAAATGCCGGAAAATCAGCCTACATGGGAGCACCCATTTTAAACCTGGAGAGAACCATGGTGGTTTCTTCTTCAAATAACAATCTGGTTTTTTTTTTCCCCCAGTACTAAAATTTTATTGTCTTTCAGACAACATAATGTTTATTTAAAATTGGAACATACTATCTTCATGCTTTCTTTTTCTTTTTTCTTTTTTTTTTTTTTTGAGACAGAGTCTCGCTCTGTTGCCCAGGCTGGAGTGCAGTGGCCGGATCTCAGCTCACTGCAAGCTCCGCCTCCTGGGTTTACGCCATTCTCCTGCCTCAGCCTCCTGAGTAGCTGGGACTACAGGCGCCCGCCACCTCGCCCGGCTAGTTTTTTTGTGTGTTTTTTAGTAGAGACGGGGTTTCACGGTGTTAGCCAGGATGGTCTCTATCTCCTGACCTCATGATCTGCCCGTCTCGGCCTCCCAAAGTGCTGGGATTACAGGCTTGAGCCACCGCGCCCGGCCTATCTTCATGCTTTCTAAGCTAAATCTTAATTTAGATTTCACTCCTCAGTAGATCTCAGAGGAGAAGCTATATAGGATCCAGATTCAAATTTAACAGTGTCTTCTACTTCTTTAGTTATGTTTTCTATCAACTCCTGCTGCTGCTTCAAATAAGGATATTTCTCAGGAGACTCTTCTACTTGTCCACTGACTGTATTTTTTCCTTTTTGATCTGTAGCCCCGGTTAAATGGCTGACGTCCTTCTGTGGATGATTCTTGGAGGTAGTCTCAGAATTCCAAGGTGATTGTCTATCTTCCTATTGTCTTTATCCTAATGCATTCACCTCATTTAATTATTTATTTATTTTTAGATGGAGTCTTGCTCTGTCACCAGGCTGGAGTGCGGTGGCACAATCTTGGCTTACTGCACCCTCCATCTCCTGGGTTCAAGCGATTCTCCTGCCTCCGACTCCCTAGTAGCTGGGACTACAGGTATGCGCCACCATGCCCAGCTAATTTTTGTATTTTTGGTAGAGGTGGGGTTTTACCATGTTTGCCAGGATGGTCTCTATCTCCTGACCTCATGATCCACCCACCTTGGCCTCCCAAAGTGCTGGGATTACAGGCATGAGCCACTGTGCCTGGCCACCTGTATTAATTTTTGTGCCCAAAAATAAAATTGTCATTATTTGTTTGCTCTCATGGGGCACTTTCAGTAATATATATTTTTTTAAATTCTAGTTGCCCGCTTTGTTGATCCTTCCTTTGTAATACCAGACTTTGCTAAAGACTTGAGGGGTGGTTTCAGAATAGGGTCAGGTGATGGGAAGGCAGGATGAGAAAAGCCCTGGACTTGCATGTTTGAGAAGGCTTCCAACCACATCTTCACTCACACTCTAGGTCGGAATTCCTGTCCCCAAAACAAGCTTCTGTTTTTTTGTTCACAATGCTATATTTGCTTCTAAATTTTTCTTGAATTGCTGAGAAGCAGTCATTAGCTTTGTTAAGTTTGGTTTGGGGACATCGTTGGTATCAAAATCGAAGTCTTCATTTGATGTAGGCTGTGAATCATCAATAACTGGTTACTGGAAAGCTTGACTACCATCCACTGGGTTGCTATTTTGAGAAGGATTTTTGGGTATCTTTTCTTCTTTATAATCTGCAATTAGTTGATGATTGCTTTCTAGTTTATCAACTGCATTTATATTTGCTTTTCTGTTTGCTAAAAATCCATTATTTGCTGGCACCCCCCCACCCCACTCACAGCAAGTACAAGTGGTCTGAGGTTATCCTTGTTTTTCTTCACGGTTTGCCATGTGTGAAAGCAGTTTTCCTGCTATTGATATATTCTCATTATAGACAGAATAGTGGAGAACAGTGTTGCCATGGACAACAATCGAGTTTTGGTCTGCCTTGGGGAGCGTTTGGACTTGTGGTGCTTCTAACACTTAAAAGTCTAGATGGTTCTTGACTGTCCCCCAGCCATACTGCATACTACTTTGTGCATTCTACTTTGTGCATTCTACTTTGTGTTATTAATGAAGGATTGGTCATGTCCCTGTAACTTAGGCATTTATTATTCTTAACTCTTCGTTCCTGTTCTGTAGCCACCCTGCATATGTCCAGGCCAAGCCACAGGGCATTGGGGAAGGTTTTTGGGATTTTCATATTGAGATTTTATTGAATCTGTAGTTTACCCCAGCTTTCCTAAGATACAGTGAGGGGTTGGAGGGATCTGTGTTTGGCCTGGGGAGCAGTTGTCTGTACCTTAAGGTTATATTTTGAGGGCATAAAATACTATTTTGCAATGTCATGAGAACCCCATTAGATCTGAAATGTGGAAATGGTTTCTCACAATTTAAAGGAAAAACTCACTTTGCACCCATGATCCCATCCTTTTGGTTGAGATTTTAGAATAAAAATTATAGTGTTGAGATCCGTACTTTTGTAATCAGACCACCAAGCATGCCTGTGGCAAGGCAGAGAGGAAAGGTCTAGAGCTAGTATATTGCAGTTTCATGCTACCTTTACCTACTAATCATAAAAATTATGTTTTCAAAAGTAGATAATACTAGCCTTACACCCAAAAACATGTTCTGAATTAGATGCCGCTCTCACCCAATTTTTATTAAGCTTTCTAAATTCCAGCCACATTGCTGTACATCAACATTGGTTTCATTCAACAGACTTTTTTTGGCCTGAAGATACAAAGTTCAGAAAGAGGCCATCCCTGCCCTCAAATAACTTTCATAGTGGTGTGTGATGAACTGACCATTAATAGTTTAAGTGCTTACAAGCTATGTTTCTGTTAAAAAAAAATAGCTTGGTATAATAAATGCTATTTATAAACCAATACACATTTCTGACTTGGGGGCAGAGACAGACTGGCTGATGTTGTATAGTTTGTAGCCCTAGAGTAAGAAGTTGACATTAATTTTGGCTTATATGTGGAAAAGACCTATAACATTGGGTGAACTGAGCCAGCTGGCCATAGAACACAAGAACATATTCCAGGAAATAAATATAGCTGAGGGTTGGAAATGCTGTTATTACCAAGAGAGAAAACAGGTGAGTTGGGATTGAGAACTCCTGATTTTCATCCCTGGTTTAGATTCTTGGCCACAGTAGTGGTAGAGTTAATCTTTGCTTGTGGAAAGCGTTAAGTGTGTTGCAGATTCAGTTGTGTTACATTATTGTGGGTTCTATAACAACATATTCCTCATGGACACTTCACCAGAG